ATATATGATGCTGAAAGAGAATTTGATGTGGCCGTGTGGCTGTATCATTTCATTATTTGTATTCAGGAATTTTCCTACTACCTATACACACAACGAACACACACATACACACACACACTGAACTTATTATTATTATTATTATTATGCAAAGTTATATAACATTAACTTTTCATTGAAAAAAAGCCATAAAGTCATTTCATGTGAATGTGATTTTACCCTGTGTGTGCGTGTGCATATGTGTGTGTAGCAATCAAAATGACCATTATATTTTATTATAAATAAATAATTTTCAAATCATTCAACATGGTATTGAGAAAGAGCAATAGAGAATCATAAAAAAAAATACGATTCAATACATTCGAATTGCACCAAAAAAAAAAAAAAATTATTGGTACCATATAGATCAACAGTATTGTGAATTGTTTAATTGTTATTGAAATTACAATTATACAATGATTATAAAAAAAAAGAAATTAGCATAATTCGTCATCGTTGTGTGTTGTGTTTTTTGCAACATATAAATTGATTATAAACATGAAATTCTTCAATTGTTTGTGGCTCTTTCTCTCTTTCTCTCTATCTCTATATGAAAAACAAAAATTATTCCTTTGGGCGAAAATCCAAAGACCCAAAGAAAAGAAAAAGAGTTTGACAGGTCCGTAATGGTCATAAAATAATTGACAATACCAATTTCACCAAAGAAAAAAAACTGAAACCAGTAATTTTTTTGTCTTGTTTTGTTTTATTTCAAATTTTCCACATTTAAATTACTAAACACACACACACTTGTAGTCTGTTGAGCAATTTGTTGTTTTTTTTCTGTTTTTTTTCTTAAGAAAAATTAGTAAACAATTTTAAACAAAACAAAACAAGAAAAAATGTAATTTAAATTTGAAAATATCAATGACTTTTATTTATTTATTTATCAGCAAAAAAAATTATTATTCTTATACACACACTTTTTTTTTGTTTCCATTATGTCCTTATTTGAAACAACAACAACAAAAAAGGTCAAGAAAGATCAAGATCAAGATCATTAATGATGATGATGATCCGAGGGGGTTGTCAAATTCATCTTAAGACAACATATGATGATGATGCTCATTCATACACATACACACACACATTACATATACAAGTGTTGCTTGCTTTACTTGTTATTCAACAAAATAAGCAACAAGTATTTGATCAAAAATTGAATGTTTGTTTTTTAATTGCATTGATGATAGTTCTTTCGTGTATATATTTACAGCATGCGTAACATCGTCAAGTGTTACGCATGCTGTAAGTATTTTTTTTTTTTTTTTTTTGGTTTTACTACAATCAAAAAAGGTGTTCAAGAAGATAGAAAAGATGATCACGAAATAAAAATAATTCTCATCATCATCATCATCATCATTATGAATGATCATTACACCTACCTTTTTTTTCTCTTCATATTTTTTGTTGTCGTCGTGAAGAAATAATAACAAACACAACAACCAAATAAAAAAAAATGAGAAAGAAAATCGGTTTTACAGGATGGAACAATTAAACATAAAAAAAACGGACAACAACAGCGAAAAAAAAGGTCAAATCGAGACCGGAAGTTTTACTTGTGTGTGTGTGTGTGCGCGCACTGGGATAACATAACATAAATGTTTATTTTACTATTTAGCTCGCGTAACAAATGATAAAATTTTTGTGTGTATTAACAACAACAACGTTAAGTCAACAATGAATAAACTAATCATCAATTAATAATCAAATAAACACACACATACAGCAAATGGATGAACTATCTACCCTCCATCCATATACAGATCCTTCAAAGTAACAAAAAAAAAATCATAAATATTTGAAAACTCACATCTCGTATTTTTTGGCTTTATTTTACTTTGAAAAAAAAACTAAAGAGCCAGTAAATCACTATACTGTAATGAAATTTATATTTCAGGTTCATAATTAAAATTACGTACATTGCAAGAAAGAAAAAGAGAGATCGAACTAAAAAAAAAAAAATTCGGATGTTGTTTATCAAATTACGAAGTATACGCACACACACACACACACACACACACACTCATAAAGTGTCATGAATTATTTTGAATAATTCACATTCAATCACACATAACATAACATAACAGGCAATACAAATGAGAAAAATTTGCCCGGATTATCATGGTTGTTGTTGCTGTTGTTGTTGTTGTTGGTCATTCATTTTAATTTATTATCGCAATTTTTTTCTGGTCATAATAATAAACTAAAATGGCCGAAAGCATATATATAAAAGTAGCAAGTTTTTTTTCAGGGAAAAAATTCACCGGCGTAGCAATGTGTCAAGCAAGCTATGCTTGGCTGTAAGTGAAAATGATATTTCGTAATTTTTTTTTTTTTTTTTTTTTGTGAGATATTATTATTATTATGGAAAATAATAAAGAAGGAAATTGACAGAAACATTTCCATCGTCATCATCATCATCATCATCATCATTATCATTAAACCTAATAAATCATGAGCTTAACATGAGGCCTTGCATGATCATTTGATTTGATTTTAAGCTTAAAATCCGTTTTTGTATACAAAATGTATATATACGTGTGTGTGTATGTGTGTGTCTAAATATTTTGACTTTTTTTTCCATTTTATTCATAACCATGACTACTTTGTTTCCACATTTTATAAATCTAGATCAATGCGTTAATCCATGATTCATTATTATGCAAAATGTGCATCCATTTTTTTCCGGTTCGTTGTTGTTGTTTTTGTTGTTGAAAGATTAATTTGGAATTTGAATTTTTTTTTCTCTTGTGCTTCAAAAAAGAGGTGTTGGTTGCGCAAGCTAGGTCAAAAAAATTTTTTCCGACTTTTTTCCCACTTGTTATTTTGTTATCGTCGGTTCCGGTGGTGATGATTGACTTTAATCAAAAAAAAAAAAAAAAAGTTTTAGGCCTGTGGTGTTGAAATGTCAAGATGATGATGATGATGAGAACTTTGGACCTCTCTCTTTCTATCAATTTGTTGACCGACTGACATATGTGGCAAATTGATGAATGTTTGGTACAGAAAAAAAAATCAAAATTCACAAGGTCAATAAATTGTGTCAAATATTGATCTATGTATGGTCTGTTGAGCTTCTGATGATGATCAAAAAAATTTTTTTTTGCCATTTTTTTCCATTCATTCATTTCATTTTATCTGTGTGTGGACCACAGACTGTGTGGTTTTCCAATTATGCCAATATCATTCAATGATGATAATGAAAAAAGAAGAAAGAATTTCGAAAAAAAATTCGGTAGAAAAAAAAACAGAATAAATTTCATCATTCCAATCATTATCATCAGGAATGCATCAATTTTGGACATTAATTTTTTCTTGTTTTTTTTTTGGTTCTAAAAAAAATCTTTAATGTTTGCCCTACGGCTTTTTGGCTATCAATATATGTGTGCGCGAAAGAGCGGTGTCAATGTCAGCGAGAGAGAGAGAGAGAGAGAGAGAGAGAGAGAGAGAGAGAGAGAGAGGGGTTCATTGATTGAATTCCAGTTCGATTTTTTTTCGGATTTTCGATCTGATCGAATGATTGAATTGAATGATGGTGACCACCACCAAATAGACTTATCATCACCTTTTTTTTGTTGTTGATCGTAATTTTCCAATTTTTTTTCATCGCAAAAAAAATCCATCCATCCATCCTACAACATCAAACACTAATTATAACCCACCATGTGTGCGTGTGTGTGTGTGTCAAGAGGATTTATGAACGTTTATAAATTATCAATTCATTCGCGCCAATCATCGATTAATTATTATTACACACACACACACACACACACACACACACACACACACACACACACACACACACACACACACACACACACACACACACACACACACACACACACACACACACACACACACACACACACACACACACGCTGATCAAAATCAAAGGTTATCTAAACGATTTTTTTTTTGGCCCTCACATAAAATTTGATTTGCAAGGAAAAAAAATTCCGAAAATTTTCTCGGTTTTTTTTCTTGTTGCTTGATTGGAAATGATAATTAAACATGTGAATTCTTTTTTTATTTATTTATTTATTTTCTGTTGTTTTTTTATGACATTTAGGAAAAACAGCCAACAATTTCATTGCAGCAGCAACAGCAACAGCAACAAACATTGTCTAGTTTTCATCATCATCATCATCCTCAACAACAGCAGCAACAGCCAATAAATTATATTGAACAATCATCATCAAAATCATCATCATCATCATCACCGAAATCAATCGATTCTAATTATAATAATCATTTTAATGATAATAATAATGATAATCAACAACAACAACAGCAACAGAAATCATCATTATCAATATCAATATCGGTCAATATGGATCATCGTTCAACGAATAATAATTCAAATGTTGGTTATCAACAACAACAACAACAACAACAGCAACAACCATCAACATTTGCAACTGCCACCACTACCACAACAAACACACCGGATTCAATGCATTTTAAAGCACAAATATTAGATAATGCTAATATTGAATCATCAGCCACATATATTTATGATAATAATAATTTTATGCAACCACCACTACCGCCACCAACAACAGTAACAAATAATATGATGATTATGTCACCATCAACGGCTATAATGAATCCAATTTTATCGATTGAATCCAATCCATCATCATCGTATGAACAATTTGTTCAAACAATTGGTAACCAACATCATCATCATCATCATAATCATCTCAATCAACAACAGCATCAACAATCATTAATGATGAATGGAAATCCACGTACAACAACAACTACTAGTAGTAGTAGTAGTTATCCATTATCATTATCATCATCATCATCAATTACAAATAATATTACTGGATATGGAATTGCGACTAATTGGAATAATGATACTGGATCAACAGATACGACAATATATCAACATCACCATCATCAACAACAACATTATCCAATTGAAGCATCAACATCATCATCATCATCATCAGATATATCCGGTTATAATCAACAACAATATGGATCATCATCATTTGGAACAACAATAACAACAACATCAATGTATACAAATACATTTTCAACACCAACATCGTCAATTAAATCACAGTTATCATTATCATCATCGTCATCATCATCATCATCACCATCAACAACAACAACAACAACATCAAGATATATGCCACCAACACCACCTAGTTCAGAACCAGGTTCACCAGGTTCATCAGCATCATCATCATCATCATCAACATCAACATCAACTACAACACAAACAACGAATAATCATAATCAACAATCCATTCATCACCAATTGAATAAATCAACATCACCATCATTGTCGGTTCACACGATTAACAATAGTAATCAAACGATTTCACCTGCATATCATATGGATAATAACTGTGTGAAAAATACGGTTGTGTTGGCCCAATTTTCTTCTTCTTCTTCTTCTTCTCCTTCTCAAGTGTCCTCAATTCCATCCTCATCAACGTCTCGTAATTCGAGTTCAACAAATACTACTACCACAACAACAGAAGCAGCAGCGGCGAAAATAACAACGAAAACAACAATAACAGAAAAATCAAAAACGGTACACCTGAATCGAAATGGTACAACAGCAGCAATACGAACAACAATAGTGAACGGTAATCAACGGCAACAAGGTACCGGGCAATCATCATCATCATCATCGGTCAAAGCACTTTCTCATCGAATGTTTGGTGCCGGTACGTCCGGTATATTATCTACTACAGCAACAAGTGGTAGTAGTAGTAGTAGTAGTACCAACGGTGTTCCAGGATCAAGATTTAATATAGAAAATACATCACCAACAACAATTATAATAACACCACAGCCAAGATATAATCGACGAAATAATCCTGAACTAGAAAAACGTCGTATACACCGTTGTGATTATCCAGGTTAGTAGGTATTTTATAGCAGCATTAGTAGCATAAAGAAAAGAGAATAATATAATGTGATTGACCATGAAACATTCTCTCGTGTTGTGTTACCCGAAATACGGTCATTTATAATGGTTTGGGAAACAATAAAAAAAAAGTTTGGGAAAGTGAATGTTACGGATTGCTTTCCATTGTTTGTCTGTTGGTGTGATCGGAAATAATTTTTTTTATTGGTTGTCATCGTTTTTTGTACGTAGTTTGTAGACGACAACAACAAAAACCGGGTACATTAACTAGATTTCGGACCATCATGATGATGATGATTATTATTATTATTGATTTGGGCAGCTGTGTGTTTCAGATGACATTTACCTAGTCGGTCAATCAAGTGATAAGAATGATAAACAACAACAACACACACACACATCACTGACCAAAATAGTCAGTTTTTCCGTTCCAAAATGACCGGAAAGATCTGAATTTATTTATTCATCACTTTGAGATCTTTTTTTTCTCTCTATTTTTGATCACACAGAAACATCACACACACACGACAATTTGTCATTTCAATAATTTGCTGTTGTTTCCAAAATTTTTGTAATAGCTACACACACACACACACACACATAAACATTATTCTCTATGTATGCATGAAGAGAGAAAGAGAAGCTCATTACTTAATTAATGTAATGGAATTTAATTGTTTTGTTTTGTTGTTGTTCTCATCATCATCATCATCATGATCATCAATGACATGAAAACATGTCATCATGATCAATGGAATGATAGGAATGTATTGCGTGTAGAAAATTGATGTTTTTATTATTTGTTTGTTGTATTTTTTTTTTATTTCATTTATTTCAATTCAGAAAAGAAAAGATCATTTAGCGCTTCCTTCGTTTTCTTTTTGTTTTTTCTGTTTGTTTTTTTTGTTTGTTTTCATCATTATCATTTAAAGATGATGATTACAAAGATCATTCATTAGCTGTATAATTATCGTTGATGATGTTCATCATCATCATCATCATCAACATAAAAACAATGACAACAACAACCCAGATAATAACAAGTTAATTGGAATTTTTCTTTTTTAAACTTTGTAATTTTTCTTTTCATTTGTCATTTGGAATTTATTTCAATTTAGTAGTAGTAGTAGTAATAGTAGTAGCAGTAGCAATGTCATTAAATAGGCATTATAAGATAATTATTATTATTATTGTCAAGATTATTTAGCACCACATTATCATCATCATCAAGACCAAAAAAAAGAATTTTGACCATCCTGTATTTGATGATGACTATATGTGTTTAACACACACACACACACAAGTAATATATCATCATGAATGAAAAAATAGCAAATTTATAAATGTAAAAATGAATGATGGCCATTTTGAGATGATGACACATTTTTTTTTTTTTTTTTTTTTTTTGGTAATTGGATGTATAGTTTTTTTTTATTATTTCTTTGTTTTTGTTTTTTTCATTCTTGAAATCGAAGGGAAAAAAAATTTTTAAGAATGAAAACTGAAAGAATGTGTGTGTGTGTCTAAATTTCTAATTTTTTTTTAATTTTATTCCTTACTTCTAGGTTGTACAAAAGTTTATACAAAAAGTTCACATCTGAAAGCCCATCAACGAATACATACAGGTAAGTTTTAATCATCAATCCTTTCAATATTACCAAAACAAAACAAAAAATAAATGGATAAACCAGATTTTCAAGGTTGAAATCCGGTTTTTTTTCGATAAAAAAAAAACACTAGACACACACACAAAAAAATACATCATTAATATCAGCTAATCATAACCGGAAATTGCATCTAGATAATCTAGATATGAAAAAAAAGATGAATTAAGAAGAAGAAAAAAATGAATCTAGACACATTTGGTTATCTAAGAAAAAAAACCTAGTAGTAGTAGTAGTGACGCGTGAATATCATTTATTTTTTCATTCTTCAATAGTGATGATCGATCGTTTTGATTGAGCTAGAATGAAAAAAAATGATTTGATAGCAATTAGTGAATATATGATCATCGTTGTCGTATACAGATTCACCTCTCTCTCTCTGGTTTCATTCATTCATGGTACTCGAATCCAGTGCCTTTGGCAATCATAATATCATAATGATGAATTTTTTTTGTGAATGAAATTTTTTTTTGATTGACCAGTGATTAATAATTAATATGTAATTTTATTTTTTTCCATCTCTTTAATATCGTTATCGTTTTTTTTCATTCATGAAACAAAAAACAGGTGAAAAACCATATAGATGTCAATGGCCTGAATGTCAATGGCGTTTTGCACGATCGGATGAATTAACACGCCATTATCGTAAACATACTGGTGCTAAACCATTTCAATGTAAAGTTTGTGAACGTTCATTTGCACGTTCTGATCATTTAGCATTACATATGAAAAGACATATGCCTAAACCACATAAACAACAACAACAACAACAACAACCACAACATCAAAATCATCAACATCAACAACAAACACATCATCATCATCATCATCTTCATCATCATCATGTAGCAGGATCAATGATTACAAATAATTTGAATAATATGTCAATTGTTGCAACACATTAATTAATTGATTTTTATTTTTATTTTTTCTGTAAAGAATTTGTAAATATTTTATCACATCAATAAAAACCAATTAACATGGCGCCTACACACACACAAATGACGTACTGATTTATTTTTTGCACGCACACACCCACACACAGACACACACATACAGTGAACAGTATTTTTTTTCACATTAATCATTTCAACAAATTTCTCATCATCAGATTTTGATAATAATTTTTTTGACACACACACACACACCTACCATCACACAAATCAATCATCACCAATGACACAATACATAACCTATGAGCAATACTCAATTTGAAAAAAAAAATTTCATTCTGTATTTCAATGGTATATGATTTTTTTTTCACAGATTTATTATTTGATTATTTGTAAATATATAAAGAATTTCAATTTCAATTTAAAAAAAAAAACATATACACACCCACAAATCACTCATTATTAATTAAAAATAACACGCCCAATATTGTGTGTGTGTAGCACTATAATAATTGAGAATTTTATTTTTAAATGAACAAAAATAAAAAAAAATGATGCGCACACGCATCACTCCCAATGTTTTTTTTTTTTTTTTGGTATGTTTATGTTGGTAAGTTCAGTGTGTGTGTGTGTGTGTGAGCGTGTTTCGGTTTTTATGTCTACCATCAAATGGGCGTCAAAATTAATCAGTCATTGAAACACTATAACGAAAGAAAAAAAAAATTCATCATTTCACAAAGGAAATATGCACATATAAAATCGGAATCCATGAACAACAAACAAAAAAGACCACCATCAATGAATTTGAAAAAAAAAATTTCTCATTCATAATATTGTAGTGATGATGATGATGATGATTGTACCTGGAACGAATTCTAATTATCATTATTATGGGAACAAACGAAAAAATGTCAATGATAATATGATAATCAATCTCATCAAAATTTTTACCCATCAAATTATATAGAACACACACAAAAATTTAAAAAAAAAAAATAAATCTGTGTGACAGTCAAACACTAAAACACACACACACACACTCAAACACACGCACGCAATTTTCAGAGTTAAAATTGTGAATTAATCGACAAAACAAGTAAAAAAAAAAATTCTGTGTTGGCGTTATGTTGTTTAAATGATGATCATCATCATCATTTATATATAAATGGATGGATAAAAAATAAAACGAAAAAAAAATTAACTATAATGCGTGTGTATATGTGTGTGTGATCATGTCATTTGTAATTTTTTTTTTATACATGTGGTAGCTATGATTTTATGATGATCATTATGATAATGGCTTCTGTGTATCCTTTCAAGTGATAATAATTATGATGATGATGATGATGATGACATAGTCACTGTGTGTATGTGTGTGTATGACATTTGATGGCCGATTTAATCGAATGATGATGATGATGAAAAATTCACATACACACATACACATTACATAAATGGTCAATGTGAGATTATTATTATTATTATTGATTTGATTTGTCGTAAACATCACACATCATCAACATCATCATTCAACATCACGAGAACAAAATTCTTGAAATGCAAATGAAAATTCAATCGACGACAACGATAACGCCATCTGTTGTTGGTGAATGGATTGATTCACATATAATTCGAAATTCGAATTCAATTTATGGAAAAATTATACACACAACACAATCAATTATTTCGTAAAAGAAAAATTAAAAAATTCAATGTAAATATCAACCATACATTTATTTAGTGAATTATATATCAAATAAAATATATAGATCAATATATTTACAAATGTGATAAAGAATATTTTCTATTTAAAAAATTATGAAAAAGAAGATTCCAATTGCAATTGATTTGTTTTTGTTTTTGGTTTTTTTTTTTTTTTGATTTCGTTCATTTGAAAAAGAAATGAAAAAAAAAAATAAAAACAAATCTGACCACCATCCATCCTTATCATTATCATTGTTGGTGAAAAGAAAATTTTTTTTGGTGAAAATTTGCACAGATATATGTGATAGGCGGTGGTGTTGTTGTGAACAAACTTAATGAATTGGTTTTTTTTCGATCTAATCGAATCAATAGGATGAATGGGATAAAATCGACCGTTTGTTTGTTTGTTTAAGTGTCGATAAAATATTGAGAGACAGAGAGAAAGTGATGAAAAAATAAACCGTTAAGAAAATCAACAAATTAATAGTGGTTTGTTTCGACATTTTAGACGACGATGATTAAAGAACGAGAAACAAAAAAAAATAAAAGAAAAAACAAAAATCTTCGGTCTTGATTTGGGATGATTCAGAAGAGAAAAAGCATATTAGATCATTAATAATTCACATATTAGATAGACAAGATCAGATCTATCATCATTTATCCTATTATTGATTGTTATTTTTTCTTCATAAATTCTATGATGATGCTGTTTTGTTGAGCTAATTATTATTATCACCATCATTATTGATTATTTCAATCAAATCATCATCATCATCATCATCCGATTCCGATTCTTCTACATTTTGTCGATTTTCAGATAAACTGTAATAATTTAAAATAATTAGATATATTCAATTGAGGTTATCAAAACACTTACATATTATTTTCTAGATTATTATTTTGATTCATTTGTGAATTTAATTGTGCCGTTGATGACAAATTATTAGTAGTATTTGTTGTTGATGTGATCGGCCTTAATCTTCCATCAAGAATATTTTCAATAGTAAGCTCAACTGATCGAGTATTACGAAGATCATCCAATATTGATGTAAGAGAAAATTGAGGAAACCATTCCAACACTTGTTGTCCCATATAATCAATCTGTTGCTGTGGTTGTTGCAAATAATCTGGAAATGCTTGTTCATTTCGTGTAACTGATGCATTGATATTTATATCCATTATGTTTGGCCTGGTAACTTCCACCGAAAATGATGGTAACCATGTTGCATAACGTGAACCATCAAAATGAAAGAATCGTGTATTACCAGGACGAAGGCCGGCAAGATTGGCGATGTTTGCTAAATCTTCAAAACCGGTACCTCCAGCTATATTTTGAACATTACCACCAACACCAACGCCAGCCATAGTACCACCCGAACGACCATCAATAGCTGTTGAAGATGATCGATTTTGATCACGTTGTCGTAATGAATGGCGACATGTTGGACAACTTGTATCCTGTTCCAGCCATGATCTAAGACAAGCAGTATGAAAAAAATGGCCACAAGGTAATTGCCTTGCATTCTCCATACGATCCCAACATATTGCGCAATCATTATTCTCATCGGTTAATTCATCACGTGTGGCTGTTGGGAAATTCTCTTCCATCAAATTCAAAACCTATTTAACAGAAACGAAAAAAAATAAAAAAAAATCAGTAATCATGGATAAAATTATATGAAAAATGTTCATTACCTGGAGATAATTACGATGTTTTTTTAAACGACGAATAATATCGGTAAATATTGAACGTAATTGTATCAATATGACAACACTTGATACGGATAAAATGATATTACCGGATGAAAGCATATGGATATGATGACAAAAATCGATTGACAGTACGGATAGATCAAATATAAGCTCTATATAATAGATGATTGCCGTACGTTTTTCCCATATTGAATCACGCCGTAAATCGCATAAATGTATGATATACAATATAAGACATTGCAATGAACGTAATGAAATTATCGATACTTCACAGATGAGAAATGCGCCGATACTTAAACTTGTGTGATTACCGACAATAACACCAATAATGAATAATGGTAATGTTGACATCAATATCGACACAAGTAATGTAAGTAATTTTATATGTTCAAATCTTGAAATTGTTGGTGTATTGGCTAGAAAACTATAACGTTCTTTACAAAGATTTGTCAATAAAAACATGAAACCAAGTACGGAAAACCATGCACACCATAATATTAATTCATCCATATATTGTACATTGATAACGCTGAATACGAATATGAATTTATAAAGTAAAAAATTCCAAAATTTATCCCGTAATAATTGCTGCTCGGATGCACGAAGATCACCAAATACTAATTTTTGTATTAATTTTCCAAATAATATCAATAAACAATAGCTCATATTGATCAATGTCCATACGCAAAGTGGTTCATGTATCATAATATATGTTACATTCAATAATGTAACAAAACGTTGATTCTTTAATAATTCATTCAATGTAATTGAATCATTTGGATATCGAAATAATGATTCAATGAATGCATTACGTAATGTATAATTATTTGCTGTTGTACCATATGATAATTCGATCGTTCCATTATTCTGATTAAGATGATCTTTAATACCATCATTGGTTATTATAATATTTGTTGTTGTTGTATTCGATACGATAATATTACCATTAACAACATTTGAATCCGTATGATGATGAGTATTATTACTATTATTATTATTATCAACAGCTGATTGTATGAATAAAAATTCATTTAATTTCCAATCCGGTTCGGAGGACACTTGAAATGCATAATAAATGGCACAGCTAAGTAATAAAAAACTTATGCTTGCATATGTTTGCAAACTAGGCAATGGTAATATTTCCGGTGCGTCCAAAAAATTTGGCATTTTGAAATTTTTTTGTCGATGATGATAATGATGATGATGATAGTCAAATTATTTCTTTCCAATAACAATAACTGTTTTTTTTTTGTTTCAATGATGAAAAAATAAAATTAAAGTTCAATTTGAATTCGATATAATTGATTTGGTTTTTTTCAAAAGGTCGATTCAAAAACAAACAAACAATCAATCACAAATTCTTTATCGATTCACATCACTTCAATATATTATTTGATCGAATGTTTTCCAATGATTTATGTGGTGATTATATTGAGTCATGGTCACAATGTATAAAAATGAAAAATTTTTTCTCTGGTAAACATGGTGATGATGACAAAGAAGAAAGAAAAAAATTAATTCATTTCATTTCATCAAAAAAAAATAATCTTTGACATTATTTCGTTGATAAATTTTTATTTGTTGTTTTTTTTTATTATACTGTATTGAAAAGGACAAAAGTTACGTACGCATAATGATAAATACATGCACATATACAACACACAAATCAACGCATCACACAAACACAAGCACACATAAAATACCCTTATTCGACTATATCTACTGGAATAGTCACCCGAAAAAAATATTTTCATATAAACATCTTATGATTATCATCATTGAATTGATCCTTTTTATGAAAATCAAAATTTAAAATCTTAAAATCATGGGACATTGGATTTTAGAGGTGACAAAAATTGGTATCTACATAACATTACCATTATCATCATTCATTATATTCAATCATCCAAGTTTCTATGCTCCAATACTTTATGAATGGCGTAAAAAAATCAAACCATTCACTGTTAATGATGAAATTATGCGAAAACGGCAAGAAGAATTTGAAGAATTATTGATTATTGAACAATCAATGAATGAATCGAACAACAAATGATTAATGATTAAATTTATTTCAATTTATTATTGTAATTGTAATTTTGGGTTAGTCAAAGATTTAAATCGTTTTTTTTTGTTGTTGGAAAATATTGCTTGAATAAAATGATTTTGTAATTGATTCATTTTTGACCATCAAAATGTTTTTGAAGTCCAGACCAACATTTATAATAATCTTCATCCAATCTTCCAAAATTCAATGCCCAATCGGTTAGCCGTAATTGTAATGAACTTTCAAACATGAATGCCATTGTACCATCAGCTACACGTGTTGGTTCCAATTTATCTTGGGTAGCTTTGATGAAACAATCATTATCCGGACCATGCGGCGTCATCATTGAATGAAGGCTAGCACCACCGGCACGAAATCCTTCCTCTTTAGCTTCATATGAACCATGGATTAAACCCATAAATTCACTCATACAATTACGGTGATAATATGGTGGCCGAAAAGTATCGGTTGCCACAGACCATCGTGGTGGAAATATAACAAAATCAGCTATGGCAACACCCGGTTTTGTTGATGGACATGTCAGAACAGTGAAAATCGATGGATCAGCATGATCATATGAAACCGTATTGATGACCATAAATTTGGATAGGTCATATTTATACGGTACATAATTACCGTACCAAGCAACAACATCAAATGGGTTATGTTCCATTTGTGCCACGAAAAGATTGCCACAATATTTGTTGATAACCTCAAATTTGATATGATCTTTATCCTCATAATAAGCAACTGGTGTCAAAAAATGTCTTGGATTAGCCAAGCCATTGGCACCAATTGGACCAAGATTAGGCAGAATGAAATGACCATCAAACACTTCTAATACATAACCACGACTTGGTTCGGTTATGTCTACCGAAAATTTCATACCCTGTTGAATGACACAGATTTCATTCGGTGAAACGGTCATTTTACCAAATTCTGTTCGAATATAAAGTGTGCCAAGCTGTGGAACCAAAAGGAAATCACCATCCGAATTATGGAAACAACGATTTTTCATCGAATCATTTGCAGTGTAAACATGTACGGCCATACCATTTCGTGAACTTGAATCTCCACCACCACAAATGGTGTTCAGTCCATCGACAAAATCAACATTTTTATCCGACATTGGTATCGGAAATGGTTTCCATCGTAATTGATTTGGTGTTTGTGCCACATTATTCCAATCGGATCGTACATTCGATCGTTCATATGGACGAAATGGTTGATGAAGTACCGAAGGACGGATACGATAAAACCATGTACGTTTATTTGTTTCACGTGGTGCCGTAAATGCTGAACCAGATAATTGTTCGGAATAAAGTTTGTATGGACAAACTTGTGGATTATTCTGCAATTCAGGTAATGAACCGGGACATCGTGGATCTTCACTACGGAATTCATTACCGAATCCCGATTTATACTAAACCGATAACAAATGATATTAAAATATGCAATTGTCAGATATCAATTCAAACCTTCAAATTTAGAAAGCTCATTTTTTTTCTTTCTTTACTGCTGTGCCTAAAAAATAAAATCAAAATGATGGCAATTAAATAAAATGTAATTTTTATTCTAAAGTAAAGGAATTTTTCTGCTGTTGTTGTTATTATTGATGAAATGGTGATAAAAAAACCTGTTCCCAAACATCATAATCATCTGACATTGTCCTTGAAGAAATTATAGAAAGTGAATTAGTAATTTGAGAAGAAAAATTTATTACATCGATGTTTAAGAAAAACATAATCATCATCGAAGGTATATCTCCAAGAATGTCATTTGAATCTTTTAATCTTTATCAATTTCATTTAATCATGATTGATTTTTTGTTTTCAAGAAATAATAATAATGATGATAAATGATGATGATGATGATGATTTCTTTTTCGAATTCACATACACACATCCTTGACATTCATTCGTAATGATTGTCGATAGATGGTGGCGAAATCGATTTGCAATTGTCACATGTGATTGTATCTCTTGTCTTGTTTTTTCGTTTTTTTTTTGTTTGATTGCAAATTATTTTTTTAATTGATATATTCAACAAATAAAAATAATGTTATTTCGAAAATCTTGGAAATTTATCACGACGAATGCTCATAGAAATATTATTCATTACAATCATCATCATCATCCACGACATCGACAATTAATTAATGCCCATGGGCGAACATTCTCAACACCATCACCATCACCACCACCACCACCACAACAACATTCGAATATTAATTCTAGTTTGATATTTAAATGGATAGCCGCTGGTTCACTTGTGATCGGTGTACCATCATATCTGTGGTTGTATCGTTCAAAATCGAATACAGATGCTAAACTAACGAATAACACAAATGTTTCACAGAAACAAGAGAAAGATATTGATAAATCATCTATTGATAGTAGTCTACAATTGATTGAAAATCTTCCTGAAACAGTACCATATTTGATTATTGGTGGTGGGCCGAGTGGATTTTCTGCCGCACGTACAATTCGTGGTAATGATCCTACAGCTCGTGTACTGATCATAACTGAAGAGAATCATTATCCATATACACGTACACCATTGACAAAGGAACTTTGGTTCAGCGGTTTAGATGATAAATTAAGTTTTAAACAATATAATGGTAAAGAACGAAGTATCTATTTTGAACATGAAGAATTCTATTTACCATTAAATGAATTCAATTCAGCATCACATGGTGGTATTTCCGTAGTAAAATTCCATAAAATTAATCGTTTAGATGTAGCTAATCAACAAGCATATCTTGATAATGGCCAAATAATTAAATATGATAAATGTATCATAGCAACAGGAACAAAACCGAAAAATTTGAAATGTTTTGAACAAGCTAGTGAACAACAACCACAAATTGAAAAGAAAATAATTCTATATCGTTATCCAGAAAATTATCAACAATTAAATGAATTATTACCGAAAATAAAGTCGTTAACACTTATTGGTAATGGATTCACTGCCAGTGAATTAGCATTTTCATTAACGGAACGAGCAAAAAAATTAAAATCAAATGTCCAAATTAATCATATATTCGAACAGGATGGTGTATTGAATGAAGTGTTACCTGTCTATCTAAGCCATTGGTGTACAGATCGAATTAAAGATGAAAGTATTGAATTTCTAAAGTTTTTTTCTGTTCATTTTTAATTAATTTCATTCTTAATTATTAACAATTAGATGTGAATGTTATATCGAATGTTCGAATTGATGATGTCAAAATGGATAAAGATCAGCTATCACTGAAACTAACTAATGGCCAGACATTGAATACAGATATTTGTATTGTTGATATTGGTTCAGAACCAAACATCGATATTGCTAAATCAGCCGGATTCGAAATCGATCCAATCAATGGTGGTTTGATAGCCAATTCTGAACTACAAATACAATCAAATATTTGGGCGGCCGGTGATGTGGTTAGTTTTTATGATAAAAAACATGGTCGTCGAAGAGATTGTCATCATGATAATGCCATTTATACGGGGCGATTAGCCGGTGATAATGCAAGCAATGGTGGTAAACCAGGAAAACCATATTCACATAATGCAAGATTTTGGTCAGATTTAGGTGCTGATATTGGTTTCGAAGCGATCGGTATGATTGATTCAAAATTACCAACATTTGCAATGTTTGCCAAATCTGATCCAAATGATGATGGACAATATAAACATGAAAGAGGTGTATTATTCTATTTGAAAGATAAAACCATCGTTGGTATTATATTATGGAATATATTCGATGTAGATAATATGCATATAGCACGTAGAGTATTGTATGATGGTATGAAAGCGAAAGATCTAAATGATGTGGCACGATTATTTGCTCTTTATCCATCATTAACATCATCATCATTATCAGCAATGGATGTCGATGAAAATTCTAAATAATGTAAATGAATTAATGATTTTTGCTTTTGTTGTTGTGAAATGACGCAACCATGTTAAATTGTAATTGATTTAAAAAAAAATTTGAATGAAAGAAAAAAAATTGAACCCAAAATTGATATATAATGTTTATGTGTCAATATTAATTAATGTATCGTGTGTAGATAATTGAATTTTCATTTAATTCTCGAAAAATGAATGATTCTCTGCTCGAAAATGAATAAATCCCAATGGATTTCCTTCGAAAAAATGCAATAAGATCCAGTGGTGATGGTGAGAAATGGATTATTTTTATTTTGGCATTTCATTTGGTTTGTGATCATCGTCTGAAGAAGGTGTTTGGATCGTTAATAATCGCACTGATAAGTGATTGGCGATATGAATTGGGAAGATTTTCGTAAACATGGCAAAGAATTGGTTGATTATATTGCCAATTATTTGATGACCATACGTACACGGCGTGTGTTTCCCGATGTAAAACCTGGTTATATGAAAAATTTACTACCCGATTCGGCACCGATTGATGGCGAAAATTGGAACGATATTTTCAGTGATGTTGAACGTATCATTATGCCCGGTATCACTCATTGGCAATCACCATATATGCATGCATATTTTCCCGCTCTTAATTGTCCGGCTTCATTATTGGGCGATATGTTGGCCAATGCTATCAATGCATTAGGTTTTACATGGGCTTCATGTCCAGCTTGTACGGAATTGGAAATTATCGTCATGGATTGGCTTGGACAAATGATTGGTTTACCCGATGAATTTCTACATAGCCAATCAAATGGTAACGGTGGTGGTGTAATACAGACAACAGCATCGGAAGCAACATTCGTTGCATTATTAGCAGCTCGTACCGAAATGATTCGGCGAATTAAAGAAGAATTCGATGATGATTCATTGGATGATGCATACATTAATAGCCGTTTAGTTGCCTATTGTTCTGATCAGGCACATTCGTCAGTGGAAAAAGCCGGTCTTATAGGTTTGGTTAAAATGCATTTTATCGAAACGGATGATGATTGTTCATTACGTGGTGATAAATTAATCGATACAATCCGTCATGATAAAGAAGATGGTTTAATCCCATTTTTTCTATGTGCTACACTTGGTACAACCGGTGCTTGTGCATTCGATAATCTTAAAGAATTAGGCCCAATTGCAAATGAAGAAAACATATGGATACATGTGGATGCAGCATATGCTGGTACAGCATTCATTTGTCCCGAATTTCGTACATGGATGATCGGTATCGAAATGACACAAAGTATTGCATTCAATCCATCAAAATGGATGATGGTTCATTTTGATTGTACGGCAATGTGGGTGAAAAATAGTGGATCATTACATCGAACATTTAATGTTGATCCTTTATATTTGAAACATGAAAACACTGGTCTAGCTGTAGATTTTATGCATTGGCAAATCCCGTTAAGTAAACGATTTCGTGCATTAAAATTATGGTTTGTTATACGTAATTATGGCGTGAAAGGATTACAGAATCACGTCCGTAAAGGTGTTCGTCTAGCGATGGCATTCGAAGAGCTAATCAAAATGGATCAAAGATTTGAAATTCCAGCCAAACGTCATCTTGGTATGGTCGTATTCCGTTTGAAAGGTCATAATCAATTGACGGAAATGTTATTGAAAAAATTAAATTCTAGCGGCAAATTACATTGTGTACCGGCATCATTGAAAGGTACATATGTCATCCGCTTTACGGTAACATCGAACGCTACCGAATTATCTGACATACAACGTGATTGGTATCTCATTAAAGAGATGGCAACAATTGTATTGAAATCATTTGCACCCGAACATACGGGATACATTGGCACTTCTATACGTGTGCCATTGGGACAGATTAAAAAGAAATCACCAGCGTTCGGTACTAGTTTATTACTATCAAATTGTCCACGTACACCAAAAATTATTAACGCTAGTTTTATGGCCATTTTCGATAATCAAGATATGGCCAATGATTATGTAAAACATTTTAAACATATGCATGATTCAAATAGAAATCAGCAATCAGGACCAGCATTACGACGTCGTATAAAGGGTTTAATGTTGACCGATAAACAACATAGTCTTGATTCACGTATCGATCTTATCGATTCGATTATAGCAACGGTTGATAAACAGAATATAAATCGTTTAAATATGGAAACAAAAATTAAAACACATTCTGTTTCATCAGGTTTGTTTTATTTTTCATTAATGAATCAAATTTTTAAATGATTAAATGTTTTTTTTAAATCAATAAATAATATTTAGCCGATTCAATACAGGAAAATCAAAATGAACCGGATGAGATGAGCAAAAGTCAAGATGAATTAAATCGAATTTGATAGATGATGATGATGGTAAAATGACGTTGGAATTGGAATTATCGAATTTTCTATTCATTTATCATGCACAACTATAGATACAGATGGATTTATCTTCGGAAACCGATGCTAATCTAGTACCATTAGGATTGAATTTAATTCCCCAAACTTGATCTTTATGTTGTTCCAATGTATGCAAACATTGTTTAGTATCTATATCCCAGATTTTTACCGTTTTATCCGATGAACTAATAATCATAATATATAGGTATTTAATTAAATCATGAAAAAATGTTAAATTATTAATTATAATTAAAATTAAATTTCAAAATAAAAAAATAAATTACCTTGATGCAAAATGTTTGTTATCGGGTGAAAAGGCAACATTTAGAATGGCTGAACCATGACCAGAAAGTGTGGCCAATAATTCGCCAGTTTTCACTTCATACACTTTCACGTGACAATCATCCGAACCGGATATTAGATATTTACCATCGGGTGAAAATGCTAATGAACGTATGGGCATTGCATGACCTTCTAATGTGGTCATTATTTTACCCGTTTCAACATCATATAATTTTATCATACCATCGATAGCACCACCGGCAATCTGTTTCGAATCTTTTCGCTATAACACAGATGAAAATGGTGAGATACATCAAGGTAAATAAACAAATATACTTACAATGGCAATACACATGGTAAATTTTCCGGTGGAATCCAATTCTTTATTATTATATTTTTCACCCGTTGTCGTATTATACAGAACAATTTTACCCGATTGTGTACATGTGGCTAGAAATTCAGAATTTGGTGCAAATACCACTGTCCATGCATTGACTGGACCAGCATCAATACTTAAAATTTGATCACCCGAATCAAGATTATATAAACGTATAATACTATCCAATGAATTGGATGCAGCAATCGTTCCATTATGATTGATATCCACCGATACAACACCCAATGAATGGCCTTCGAATATATATTGTAAATCCATATTATCATCTTGATCACTGTAAACAATTGATGGATTGATTAATTGAAATTTTTGAAAATTACAATCAAATTATTTGATAAAATTACATTTTCCATGCTTTTACAGTATCATCAAGGCTGCCAGTAACAATATGTTCAACATTATCTGTTTCACTTTTACCCCATGATATTGACCAAATTGAATCATCATGAGCATTCTCATGTGTATAAATCAATTTGAATACCTAAATAAGAAAAAATTTTGAATAAAAATTCTTTCAACAAATTTGAAATAGTTACCATTATTCAAAATGATGATCAATCAATCAATAAATCAATATAATCCCAAAATGGAAATTTCAAAAATTATCAATTTGCTCATGAACCGCAAAATGCATGCAAACATTTGATCACGTGATGATTCTGTGACATATTCCACGAAATTTCCATAGATGTCGTTATGTATGAAAAGGAAAAATTCAAACGAAAAAAAAATTTGAAAAATTGTTTTAGAAAAAATTGCTCAACAAACAAACAGACAGACAAACAAATCATGAGAATTAAAATAATGAAAAATTGTCTCTTTTTTTGTATCGAATATTTATATATTTCATCAATTCATCATATAATCAATATGTATAGTATATATATAAATAGCAAGAATATAATGTATATATGGAACAAGATTCAAGAGAAAGAAAGAGAGACGATTTTTTATGTTTTCGGGTGTGTATGGGCGTTTGTTGGCTGTATCATTTGTGTGTGTGTGTGTGTATCATCAATTTGTCAAAATAATTTGGGCAAATCATAAACGATTGATTCGAATCAATCAATCACTCCATCGATGTGAAACAAATGAATGAATAAATCAGCGAAAAAAATACATAATCCTGTCCGGTGTTTTTATTTTTGTTTGTTTTTGTTTTCAAAATTGTATGTATGTGTGGGCTTGTATGTCACATTTGAATGATTTAATTTTTCGAAAAAAAATTCTTGTTTTTCTCGATTTTTTTCGTTTTTTTTTGATTTCAAAACAATTTACAAACAACAACAACAATAATCCGTTGGTCAGATGATGATGGGTCATTGAAACGAACGATAAAAAAAATTAGAAAAATTGAACGAACGAACAAAACAAAAAAAAAAATGAAAACAAACAAACAAATTTTGAATGATCAGTGGGTGTATGTGTGTGTGTGTGTGATGATGATGTAGGTGGTGGTCACGATGATGAACAAGAACAAAACACAAAAAAAAATATAGATGACAACAACCAAAAATGACGATGAGATAACAGGAAAAAACCGGAGAAAACGAATAAAAAATAAATGACAATGTTTTGTTTTGTTTTGTATTGTTTTTGGTGAATAAAAATTCTTATAATTAATTAATATATATATTGCGTAGGTGTGATGGCATTGTTGTTGTTGTTGGCTTATTATTGTGTTTGTATCATGTGATTGCAGGAAAATGAATAATCCAGAAAAAAAAACAAAAACAACAAGAATCATCATCATTAATCTGTTTTGTTTTTCAATTTTTTGATTTTCATTATTAATAATTATATCGCTGATTTTTTTTCGCAAAATAACGGGAAAAAAATTCGGCTAACAGATTCTGTCTTTGCCCGTCAGGTGTGTGTGTGTGTGCTGAAGAAAAGATGCTAAAAAAAAGATGTTCATCATCTATATGTATATTGTTGACTACTTCCAATAGATTTTTTTTTTGTTGAACAGAGTTATCAGTATTACATTGGTGTTTGTTTGTTTTTTTTATATTTCACTAATTTTCATTCATCTACCTGTATAATATATATGGATTGGAAAAAAAATGATAATGTAATGATGATGAAGAATATTCCAAATATTTTCGGGCTAATTTAAATATTGTCAACGACGAAAACGAAACAAACAAAAAAAAATTGTTTTTCACAATAAAAACTACAAGAAAAATTCTGCAGATTCATGTATGCATGTATGTATTTTGTTGTTGTTGTTGTTGTGGTCGTACACTTGTTGCATGAACAGAATTCAAAAGTGTTTTTTTTTCTCTCATATTTTATCTTGATAAAATGAAATAATTTCTTTTTTTTTTGTTGGTTGGATTTGGTTCAATGATTCGTGTATGTGTGTGTGTGTGTTGTTTTTTCATTCCACCCACAAAAAAAAAAACATTTCGACAATTTGTACAATGATGATGAATGAATGAAAATTTATTAAATGTAAAGAATGAGAGAAGAAGAAGAAAAAAAATCGAAATGAATTGAATCATAAATGAGAAAATGGATGGTTGTGAAATGTGTTGTTATTGTTGTTAGTGGTGGTTGCGAAGAATGTAGTTGTCACGGATGATGATGATGATGGCGATGATGATGTAATGATGTGATGGATAGAAGAATCGTGGATGATTCATGAATTGTGAAATTATGATCAGGTTTTTTTTTAGTTTTCTTTTTCATCTTCTCTTCTTTGGGGGAATAATGTCGATTTTTTTTTGTATATAATGTTGTAGTAGTAGTAATTAATAATAATAATAAAAAAAATTTTTGTTTGTATCAAAAAAAAACCATCGAAAGAAATTTTCTTTTTTTTGTTTCATTCTGGTTTTCCACCCACCCACACACACATACACACAGGTTTTTTTGCTGGAAAGAATTTTTTGTTCAATTACTTTTTTTTCATTCGTTCCTGCTGCTGTGATTGGTGTGTGTGTGTGTATGTGTCTGTATGCAAATAATTTAATTTTTAAATTTTATAATAATAATATAATTCCTATGTATAAAATCGATCCGAATTCGATAGATTCGATTGCTGATGTTGACGTCGTTGATGATAATGATGGTGATGGATGGTTTTTGTTTTGGCCAAAATTTGAATATTTCTGTATTACATATATAATACATACACATACACACAGTCACTTATAAACATATTTCAACAACATGAAAAAAAAATTTCATTTTCCATCATCATCACTATATTCTTCTTCATCTTCTTTCACTTAATAACCGGTAATTAGAATGAAAAAAAATTGCAGCACCATATACATACACATAAACCAAAGATGTCTCTCTCTCTCTCTCTCTAACTCACACACACACAGAAACAAACAAACAACATAGAAAAAGGACAACTTTCTAACAAAGGAAAAACAAATTGTTTTGGTTTGGTTTTGTCTTGTGTGTGTGTGTGTGTATATCGTGTGAAAAAGATAACTTTTGTTTGTTTGTGTGTGTGTGATCAATGTCCATAGATGTGTTGTTGTTGTTGTTGTTGTCGATTTTCGGTTGTTGTTATCGGTTGTCATTGTTCTCGTTGTTATAGTTTAATTAGTTAGACCAAATTATACTCTTTTAAATTTGACTGTAATATTGTATCTTTCACAGCAGCAAAAACGAATCGAATATTTTCCGTATCTATTATTATTATTATCATCATTGAGAGAAAAAATATTAATAATACAATGAAATGAATAAAATTTACATACCTGTTGCACAGGTAAAATGAGAATAAATTATTTTCTCACTGTCCGGATTGAGATCGACAAACATTTTTAATATAAATTCTCTGGCATGTAATGGATCCTTTTTTGGACCTATATATTTGTTAAAATCAATTAATCAATTAGTGTTAGAGAATCAATATCAAATCAAACACTTTACCATCATATTCGGGAAAGTAATCAACTAAATGTGAATACATAATTTTTTCTTCCAATAAATCTTTTTTATTTAGAAATAATATTACGGAGGAGTTCTGAAACCATGGATATGTTATTATGGTCTTGAACAATGCTTTCGATTCCTCCATTCGGTTCTGATAAAGAGAAAAAAACAGAATTAAATTTTAGGAAAAAAAACAAAAACAATAATCCAAAAAAATACATACCTCATTATCAGATTCGAATAAAATTTGATCATATTCACTTAAGGCGACTAAAAAAATAATTGAGGTTACATTTTCAAAACAGTGGATCCATTTTCTTCTTTCGGATCGCTGGCCACCCACATCGACCATCCTATATATAAACATGTATTTACCAAATTAATTGATTAATTGTAATTAAAAAAAAAAATATCAATTTCAAACAAACCGGAATATAATCGAATCAAGATCAAAAGGGTATTCTATGATGCCAGTAGTAGGCACTCTGACACGCAGAATATCTTGTTGAGTAGGCAAATAATCTGGTGCGGCAATTCGATCAATGTCGCTCAAATAGCTAGGAAAAAAAACAAATCAATCAATCCAAAAAAAAAAAAAAAAAGTAGCACACTTACTATTTGGCAGAATCGGTGAGCTGATATTCTCTTCTTCTATCAAAACATTCTTGTATACCAGTATCGGCCCATAAACATTTGATTGCTTCAACATATGGACTATCAAATGTGGTCACTGTTTCATAATCAACAGAACGTACTAGATCGGCGTTTTCCTTGAATTTGAAAATAAAACATTTTTGTTAATAACCACACATTTTATCAAGAAAAAAAATAACATACAATATTTTTACTATCTTTATAAGGTATTTTGAGCATATCCATCGCTTTGATCATACTTTGCATGGCCATAAATATGTTCTGAAAGACCAATTTAATAAAACCTTTTTTATCTTCATCCGAATATCCTGATCCATGTATGATACGCATCTGTTTGATGAATGTGCTTTTACCGGATTCTCCGGTACCTATGTTTTGTGGATAATAAGATAATTAAGAAGAAAAAAAAACAAAAATCCAATCAATCAATCAATTCGACACAAACTTGTTGATCATATAAATGTTCCAAATTATTAGTAATCACTATCCGAAAAAAACGATAAAAATAAATGTACATCTTTCTCGCTCTCTCTTTCTAGTTTTTTTTCGTTAATTCCACATTTACCGTTCCTGCCCCCCCCCATGAAACCATTCAAATGAGAAACATTTTAACTCGTTCTTTCCAGTTTTATTCTTCACCTTTGTTTGGCAATCTATCAAAACATTCAAAGATTTATTTATACATCTATTGAATATATATAGAGAGAGACAAAAGGGAAAAAAGCATCTTTTCTTTCTGAATTTTTCTCATTTTTTTTGTGTTTTGAAATTCTCATACTAGGTTGAAAAATAAATTACTATGATATTGATCATATAGAATTTTTAATTTTTTTTTCAAATTCATCACGAATGTTTGTTTTCTGCATGTCTGCCAACACACAAACATCAATATCCAGAATATAGAATCCAACCAAAAAACACAACCATTACAACAGTATACACACAAGCCCAACAAATCCAACAATCAACTAACTAAACAACATTTTCTTGTTGAGTTTAGCTATTTGTTAATTAGATTCAATCAATCAATCAAAGATATGTATATATATTGTATAACGTATAGATTCACATTCAACATACACATACACACACACAGAGAGAAAGAATCGAGCTCTACAAGTGTCTGGTGTGTGTGTGTGTAGCTAGTTTTTAGATTTGAAAATTATTTCAACAACAACAAAAAAAAATTTCCTACATACTACTACCCATTTATAAACATTATTTTATATATTTCACCATTAAAAATAAAGAGATTCCTGGTGTTTTTAAATTTTTTTTTTGTTAATTTCATTTCCACAAACACACACGCAGAAACAGAGAAAAAAATTGTATGTAAAATGAAATAAACATCAAAATAGTGAAAAAAAAGAGAAAAAAAAATATTACTATAAACACAAAACAAATCTATTCCACTAACCTAACAATAGATTTAAATCTTTAAAGATTTTGTCGAGATTAATAAAACAAAAAACAAAATAAATGTGTGGCCTGCGCGTGTTTATGGAGGAAATTTAAAGCGAAAAAAAAATACCAAACAAATTCAATCATCAACAACATTATCGACAGGATTGAATGGATCAAATTAAAACTTTCTCTTCAACGAAAAAAAAAAACGAAATGATTGACAATAGAAAAATCGCAAAAACAAAAAAAAAGCAAAACAAAATGAAATAAAAATCTTAAAAAATCGTAAAGCCAAAAAAAATCAATCAAAGTTTTTTGAATGTACAAGTCAATTTATTAGGTTTTTTTTCATTCAAATGAAAAACAAAAAATTATCAGAGATTAACGACAACAATCAACCGATAAAAACCAAATAACAAGCAGATCATAAATCATTTTTTTTGTTTTGTTTGAAAATGTCAATTCCAATATATACATTATAAATGTAGACAACAACAAAAAAAATGTACCAACAAAAATAGTCGTCATCAGCGTATCCCAGGACAAGAAAAACACACAAAAAAAATCCTACAGGTGCTTTATGTATGAGGATTCATTATATTTACCTATATATACATAGATAGATAGATAATGCCTGTCTCTCGATTTGTATGTGTATGATGTTTGATATTCAAGGTTTGTATAAATATGGTGAAAACAAAAATAAAACCAAAAAACCGATTTCAATTCACACACATATCAATCAATCAATCAAAATTACCAACAGCCACAACTGTGGAAAATGGAACAAAGATAAAGAAAAGAAAAAATGTGATAATAAGTAAATCGGTTAAAAGATAAACTTTAATCTGATGATGTATATTTCTCTAAATTGCAAGAAGAAAAAAAAATCAAAGGAATCCTTCAAAATTATTATTAACCTCTATATCTCCAACTATATCCCAAGTAAAACAAACAGATATAAAAAACCAATTGACAAATTGAAAATTGGAAAGAATTGACAAAAAAAAAGTTTTTTTTATTACTGATGTCGTAGTAAAACATTTGAGGAAGAGATAATGAGTAAGAGCGAGAGCGAGAGAGAGATTAAAAGAGGAAAAACCCTGAATATTACTATTCTATCGAAAAAAAAACAAATTTAAATGTTAAATGAATAACCACTATCATCATTTTCAACTTGAAATCCAAACAACAACAACAACAGGATGGAAAATAATTGAAAAAAATATCTAGTCACACACACACACACACACACACAAACAGACTGTAGACACACACCTTTTTTGTCACTTTTACTTTTTTTCATTGAAAAAATCTATGATAGAAGGCGGATAATAATTTGTACCTGAATGGTTAGCTAGTTAGATAGATGAATGGATGTATGATGGAAATATTCTCATCATCGATTTGTACATTGATCGTGACATTGTCGAGGTAACAACAACACAATCATTATAAAAATCACAAAAAAAATTTTATTTTTGACTACTACCATCATTTTCACACACCAACATCACTACCAAATTCATCAATTATTAATAATAATTTTTCTTATTTGAATATTTTGAATTTTTTTTCTGTTTTCAAGTTTTTTCTTCTAGGATTATATAATGTTTTTGTCGATTATTCAAAAAAAAAAAAAAATTTTTTATTAATTTTGAATCATTGACAGATGGTTGTATTGTAGTTTTTTTTTTGGTAAACAATCGCACAATGACCTAAATAAGAAAAGAGAAATTATTTTTCATTGCTTCCATAATACACCTACCATTCGTCTTAAACACACACACAAAAAAATGAAAAAAAAACAAAATGAAAATACAAAGTTTTTATCTTATCATTTCGAATAAAGTATAAATTAAAATTAAAATAGAAAAATTTAAAACTTTTGTCTTCACTTCAATGAAAGGTACGAGAGAAAGAGAGAAAAAAAATTAGGAAAATTTAACCTAATTCTAGCATCCAACATCATCACCATCAACGACAAGCTTAGGTCCAGCAACAATTCTATCATTACAACATAATGTGAAAAGGGGAAGACTTATCCTGTGAAAAAAATACCCGGATAATGGGCCTGCAACAAAAATTGTATATCTAAATCTCTATATTGATCAATCAATCAATTTAAATGATGAAAGATCAAAGATCAGAGAGAAAAAAAAACAATCAATCAATAACCATTCGATATTTTTTTTCAAATAATGACAGGGAAAAAGAAAAATTTTTTTGTTCGTGTTTTATGATTTAATTTAATTTAATTTGATTGACAAAACATGTGACACTAAAAAAATCAAACACACAAAGCACACATCATCATTATCATCAAAATCAATGTCAAAATGGACAACAATAAATTAATTACAATTTTTTCCCAGGAAAAAAACCCTAAAAAGACTATGAAAAGCATCTTCAGTCACCTTTTTTTTAAATTAAAAATTATTTTCTATCCTGAATCCACATCATCATCATCATGGATTCTGGGATTCTGGCCATAAAGAAATACATTTAAAAAACACATACAACACACATTGAAATAGGAAAAAAAATGGGAATAAGAAAAATCGGGACCTATACACACATTGTACTGCCACTTTTCTTTCGCCCCCACACTCAGGCCGTTCTTTGTATTTTTTTTTCCTATATTTCTAGTTAAACTATGGCACAAACACATCGACCCGAATACTTTAAGCAAAAAAAAGAACGAATAAAATCCAAGAAACCCCCAAATAAAGAATATTTACAATAAACCACACACAAACACATAAACATTGCGTTTTTTTTTGATTCTGAGTCTGTGTACCATTCTCTCTCTCTCTCTGTGTGTGTGTGTGTATGGAATTGAGGTCATTGATGTAGTGGGCGCCAAAAAACTTTAACCATCAATAATAATACTAATAAATGGGCAAATGGGCGATATACAAAGATCGAAAAACTGGCTGACTAACTAACCGAATGAATGAGTGAATAAATTGAAAAGAATTTGGAATTTTTTTTTGTTTTTTTTTTGTTCTATTGCTAATGCTAAACCAACCAACCGCACACACACACACACACACACACCCCAACTCGAAAAAAGTCTTTCAGTCTTATTTATTTTTTTTGAATCAAAAAAAAAGAAAAACAAATCAAATCAAAACTAACAAAAAAAAATAAAACATACCAAGTAATAATAATTTGAGCTCACGACGAGCATCTCGCTTGTCTTTGCGAAGTTGACGTTCAATTTCTTGATTAATCCTTTTCTGTTCTTTCGCCTCTTCGCTCAGACAGCACGCCATCACTGTAATACCCGTGGTTGCGGTTTTTTTTTATATCCTTTCGGATCGTTTGTTTTAATGATTACTCGTCACTGACGCGTCTTATTATTTTTTAAGACGCCGGACGAGAATCATAAAAACGAACACACGGTTGTACAACCAAAATGAATGAGAAAAAAAAATAATTGAAGAAATTTGAAAAAAAAGAAAAAAAATAATCTTGGATTATCGATCAATGATATATAAATGATGCAAGATTCAATGCCAATGTTTTGTTTTGTTTTGTTGATTGGTTGATTATGTCTAAAAAAAGGTGTATAATAACAATATATTCAAAAGATTTTTTGTTGTTTACAAAAAAAAAAAAATGAAAAGAATTTCGGATGGCTAGTAAAGTAGTAGTCGTAGGTTGTTGTCGCTGTTTTCGTTGTATGATTTTTGTTGCTGTTGTTGTTGTTTCAATGCGAATAATTGAATTTTTCCTAATATTTTAAAAAATTTAAATCAATGATAAAACAAATGATTTTTTTTCTCTTCTCCAATGATGAGTTGAATCATATATATGATATATTTGTTGTTGTTATTATTGTCGAAAAAAATATTTTATTTCGGATTTCACTTTGATTGAATGAATGAAATAGTCGTCGTCTGTTGTTGTTATGGTTATGTGGCTATATGGTTTTTTTGTTGGCACCTAAGAAGATTCTACAATTCTTTTTTTTCTGGCAAAAATTTTTCTATTTTTGCTATTGTTCTGGACGGGAAAATGGTCGTCGTTATTGGAGTGTGTGTGATGAAGAGAATAATGAAAACTTTACTGATATTGATAGGTCGGTTGATTAATTTTCAAATTAATTTTTTTTTGTTTGAATTATTTTAATTGCAACATGTGTGTGATGATGATGAATTTTTCTTCTTTCTTCTTTTTAATCACAAAAAATTGAAATCGAAAAAAAATTGCACAAAATTCTTTTCATAAAACAGAATGATGACCAATGAGTGTGGGTGTTTGGTTGGTTGTAATCGAATATAATATGTATATATATAGAAGGGAGGAAGCAATTGAATAAGATACAAGAAAATACACACACAACACCCACACTGATTTTTGAAACCAAAAATCCAATCAATTAATCCATACACACGCACAGAGATAAGAACAAAAGAATATATCTTTTTTCGGATAATATATATTCAACCGGTTATTTTTAGCTCCACAATCGAAGATATATCGAATTTATACGTATATATAGAATATATAATGTTGAATATGAATGGACCAATCAAACCAGAAAAAAAAACTTGTTGGATTTCTTCAATTTTGGATAATTCGTGTTATGATGATGAAAATTGGCCCAAAATTGAAGGGATTGAAGAAAAAAAAATCAATTCTGCTTCAACGATGGCAACAGTAATTATTATTATTATTATTTTTATCCGTTGATTAAATTAATTTTTTTTTTGAGATTAAATAATTGGATGATAATAATAATAGATATATATAGGCAGTGAACGAGTTGAATCAATAGTAATTTTGAATGAATGAATGATGATAATTATTTCGATGAAATAAAAAAAGAATCAATCAATACCAAAAATAATGGCGACAATGATGTTACAATACTGTGATTTTTTTTTTCTTCTTCTTCTTCAGATAGATTGAACCTGTGGACAAATTGAAAAATTTTTTGTTTAAATTTGCAAAAACAATAAATTAACAATTATACAAACTTTTTGGCTTCAAATTATTTATACTGATGATGATGATCATATATGTGATCAGATGATGAATATTTTTTATTTTAAAGGAAATGTTTTCTTTGATTTTGTTGTTGTTGTTGTTGTTGTTTTTCATTAAAAAATTATTATTATTATTTCATTTATTGTTGTCATTATCATTGGCAGTGTTGTAGATCCATCATTAAATTATAGTAGATGGCAGAGGGTTTATTATAGATTGTTGTTGATGATGATGATGATGATGATTATTTTAAATCAATTTTTGAATTGTTTTTTGTTTTTTTTTTATCGCATAAATTGATACAATCACGAATCAAATTTAATCAGAATGATGATGATTGATGACAAAATTCACAAAAAAAAACAACATTTCTCATAATCAGCAACAGTTTTCAACTATTTTTTTTTTAAACAATATTCAACTTTTTAAAATATACATCCACTGATTGTTGTTGATGAAAATTGAAATCGAAAAAAAACAATATACAGATTTTTGACCTCAAAGGTCAAACATTAAAATAAAAAAAAATTTCGGTCACTTTTTTTCAAAAAAAAAAAACATTCGATTAAATTCTGCTGGACGATGTTAGCGATGACTACAACAAATTGAAATTCGAATCATTTGTTGAAAACCCTTTTCATCACCACCCACAAACATATACAAGGAAATCATCCATCATCATCATCATCATTCAATCATCAATGGTGTGTGTGTATAAACATATTTCCTCATTTACGCACACACCCACCAAACAAACAAACAAAGACACACACACCCACTATCTCTCACCCAACACACATTTGCTCATCACCCAACAACAACAACAACAACAACACTCGCTTTTCGCACACACACACTCTCTCTCTCTCACACACACACACGCACACACTGTCACTTTTTTTCATAAAATTTTTTTTTCTTTTTTTTCTCTTCAAATTCTTGTCATTATCATCATCATTATCATCCAGGATTGATTTTTTTGAAACAAGAAACAATTTTTCATTTCATGGATCAAAAAGTGTGTGAGAGAGAGAATGCTGTTGCTGTGAGAAAAATCGACCAGAATTTTTTTTTCAAAAAAAAAAAATTGATGATTCGACGGTTATCACTTTAAAAAAACAATCGATGAAATTGAAACGTGTTTTTTTTGTATGATGTGATGAGATTGTTGTTGTTGATTTATTATTTATTTTTTTTTGAATTATGAATAACAAACGTTGATTGATCAAATTGATGATTTGATTTGAAAATGATGTTTTTTTTGAATCTCGTTGAATTTTTTTTTCTTCTGCCTTTATGTTTCCGTTGCTTGATTGACCAGTTGATTCACACATTGATATTCAATCATCAAGAATATTTTACATTAGAAAATTAAGCATGGATAGTAGAAGAAAATTATGAATATTTTTTTTTTGTTTTTGGATGAAAAGATACACAAAACAAAACCAATAAAAAAGAAATAGGAAAACAAAATTCGAATGATAATGAACTCGTCGGAAATTATATTTATTTATTTATCTATTTTTCGGTTTGAGAATTTTTTTCTGCTGTTTTTTTTTCATTTGGATAATTTTTTTCTTTATTTCTTTTTTTTTGGGTAAAGAATACATGAGAGAGAAAGTAGAAAAAAAACCGTATGATGTGAGTAAATTAGTGAGTTGAGTTAGTTGAGAGAGAGGGAGCGTTTTTTTCTGTCTCTCTCTCTCTCTCTCTCTCTCTCTCATAGGATTTCTCTTATTTTACAATATTTGTGGTATGTGTGTGTGTGTGTGTGTGTGTGTGTGTGGTTCTTTACACATCATCCATAAATGCTTCCAGAAAAAAAATTGTTGTTGTTGTTTTTTATATTTAAAAAAAACGAATGGATGCTACTGCTTTTGATGTTGATAATGATGATGTTCATACAACAACAACCAAATGAAATTGAAAAGAGAATCTCATTTAGATTTACCACTACTAAATAATTTTTTTCCTTTCGAGAATAATAACAGTATGTGCTAACTATTAGTAGAAGCATCGATTACTTCCCGGTAGTAGTGGAAATACTAATGCTAGTAGTAGTAGTGATGGTAGTAGCTAATACATCACACACAAGAATAATAGAATTCTTTTGAACGGACGACGTTGATAAAAAAAAACAAAAAAACAAACGAGGAAAAGTCTTGTGGCCAGAATGTGTGTATAAAGATTTTTTTGGTTACGACGACAACGAGATGATGTTTTGAGTGAATATTTTTTGGGTTCAAATAAATAATGTGTGTGTGTGTGTGTGTTACTTGTACCGCTTTGTGTATTATATGCATAATAATAATATGCAGAATATTATATGTTCGATTTAATCTGATTGATGATGACAATGATACATCCCATTCTCTTTTTTCATCTATTAATACCACTACTACCAAATATTATCGATAGAATATAATGAAACGCATGTATGTATTATATGTATGTATTATAGCTAGCATCATCATCATCACCATCATGCGATCACATTACATCCTCATCAAAGGATGCCACTATGCATTTTTTTTTTTGGCCCCCATCACTACCGCAATTCATGCCGACAATTCTATACTCCTTACATAGATTTCGTTACGTTTTTAGAAGTGATTCAAAAATTGGATTGAATAGTTTGATTCGATAATGATTCATGGATCATCATATATTTATTTTATGAAAAAAAAGATGTTACAGTCAATGTATGACGCGAGAGGAGAGGTGTGAGTGGTGAAAATTATTTGATCAAAAATAATAATAAAAAAATTATTCTAAATCGGAACCCCTTTTTTTGTTTTATCGATTTCAATTTTTATTTGATTGAAATGAATTTTTTTTCATAACAAAAAGGGCGGGCGTTCTGAATATATTTTTTTTGTTGAGGGTTGTTGAGAATTGAAACCAATCAGAATTCTGGTCAAGAATCGATCATCATCATTCGTTATCGATCTTTGATTTTCAAGAAACAAAAAACAAATATTCACTCATGGAATTACGCCATCTGGATCACACAATATTTGTAACAATTACACACACACACACACAGTGCACTGTACCCTAGAATATTTTTATGAGATGAAAACCAAACGAAAAAAATCGGCAAAAAAACCGAAGGTGTGTGATGTGAGTGTTAAAGGTTTGGATTTAGATTCTTTTCCCCCAAAAACCAACTCCACACATCTGTGTGTGAATGTGTGTAATTTTGGGTGTGGCAGCCACAATAAATGATACACATTGATAGACACGACTTCCAGGGATCCATCTGGCATCTCTCATTTTTTTTTCTAATATAACAACAATACCCAACCCAAGATACAAAAAAAAATTCTTACCACTACCATCGCTACTACCGCTACCACTATCATCATCATTAGTCGATTGATCCAACCATCATCACATCATGGCATATATATATCGATTTCCTATATAACACATTTATAATTTCTGTTCTTTTTTGGATCGGTAATAACGAATTTGTACGAATACGATATCTGTGTATGGTAGACACACACGTTATTTCATCATCATCATCATGTGCAACAAGAATATATTTATTCTTTTTATTTCCACTGTGTATGCGTGTATGGATGCCTGACCCAATGACCGATGTTGCTCTCAATATTCGTACAAATTTTTCACTTGAAAATTTTTTTTTCTTCCTAGCTTGCCTATAGGAAAATAAGACACATACACACACACACACACACAGCTGCTCTTGATCCAGTTTTTAGCTATATTTTTATTT